AAGAACAGAATTTCTGAAATCACCCTGATCATTTCCTTTTTGTTAAGAGCCATCCTTTTTGTGAACAAAATTTTACTGAGTTTTTTCATTGTCGAGAGAGCACATTCATTTACTTGCATGCAATACGTGGAAACATGTGGGCTGTCAAGCATTTCATTTGTGTTTTTCTCAAAATATACTTTTTAATTTAATTTTTTTTTTTTTTTTTTTTGGGGGGGTGTTCTTTGTTTTGTTATGTTTTTTCTTCCCAAGGGAATCTTGCATTTATATGCAAAAAGTTGGGAATGTGTCGATCGCTGTTTGGAAATATACGCACCAGTGGTTGATCTCAAGAGAAGACAAGGCTCAGGCAGTATTCACCGGCACGCTGAACCGAAAAGACTGGATTATTGCGTCACCCGCCTCGACATGACACGTGGCCAGCACCCATTTCTTGAAGAACCGGCTGTATCCATTTGTAACAACCAGCATTTTTCAACAAAGTCGCATACAAAGATTTGGTGCCGGCTTTCACCTGGCCTGGCGAAATTAGTATTACTCTGGCAGAACACTAACCGCCACCCTGTCAGTCTTCTCGTCAACGCATTACGAATATCAGAGCTCGGAACTAGTTCTTGCTGTTGTGTAAATAACCGGATAACTGGATATCCAGACTTTGCCTATCTCCAAGCCATAAATCATCAAGTGTGCAGGGACAGGTTCAGCTGCTGCGAGAGCTAAGGAGGGTTTCCTTTTCCTTCTATGGACTGTCAGAACATAAGAGAAGACGCCGTGTAGGCCACGAACCGGCAAGATGGCGATCACAATATAATAATATGTTGATGATGATGATGATAATAATAATAATAATAATAATAATAATAATAATAATAATAATAAGGGAGAAAATGTGAAATTGTATATATGATAATACTTTTTTAAAATAATAATAATAATAATACTAATAATAATAATAATGGACAATAATAATAATAATGATGAAAAATAATAATAATGAACCATTATAGTAATAATAGTAATATCGAAGACATATAGACACAGAATTAAAAAACGCAAACCACACCAGACAGAGTATCCACCAATCACACTAATGAGATAGCTATCGTGATATTTGATAGAAAAAAGCAGCAAAGGGTGAGAAAGCAATGCAATACAAGATGGCAAGGGGAAACATGAAACGTATAGCTCAGCGCCA